AATGAAAAGTTGTGAGAATAAGAAGTTTTAACCATGCAGTACATCTGAAAGGCAGGTATACTTAGAGTATGCGGAATCATGTGAATGGCTTCATGTCCAAGCATGTGCTGAAGCAACATTCAACATGTTGTGGCGACGCTACATGCCTTATATTAAAAAAATGAAGCTTATGTCTGACTTGTGTACAACTTGTAAAGAGATAAGTGGACTGATTATAATGAGTGCTAACATGCAATCAGATGAAAGAATAACTGAGGTAAGTTAGTACTGTAATAACAGAAGTATTATACTTATCATTCTCAGGCATTCTCAGGCAATGCAAAAGGCACTAGATCATAGAAGTCTCATTAAAAAGGAAAGGGAGTACCTATAATGATGTATTAAAAGAGGCACATTTATTATTAATAACCCTTTCGTGGTTGGGGTTAAAAATAGATAAATCATCTCATGGTCAGACGTTAAGAAAGCTGCAAGTGCAGTTGCAATTATAAGAACAGTACAAGCATACATAATAAGTATATTTTCTGATGGAAAAAAGGGACACTTGAAGTGCCTGTTCTATTGCTAAGCTTTATAGTACATGTTAACTTTTGGTCAAAATGCAGAACAGTATTTTATAACTCTTGTTACAAACATGAATAAACAAATAATTTGTAATTGTGCTAATTCATACTAAAGCATGTCTGTACACAATATGTTGCAACTAATATGTAGCTTTCTATTCTTCAAAAGTCAAGAAACAAGACTAGAAAAAGAGCCTACTAGAACAGCCTGGAGACTACGCCCACTGACCAAAGTGCCAAAGAAAGGCTTCAAAACATTAACGTATCATCTTAACGTCATAAATGTCTCCTGTAGGTTCTATTTTAGATATCACATAAGTTTTAAGCTTGTTCTCCCGAAAGCAAGCAAGATATGGGAAGAAACGCACTCCGTCTTTCAGTTACTTCGAGACTACGCCCATTTTATTTCTCCATTGGTTTGTACAGCGGAAGAAAGGTAGAACAGTTTCTTCTTTTTCTAGGTGCTTCATAAACCTTATAGCTACTTGTAATAGCTTTTTGGACTCTTCACACATCATGGACAAAACATATGCTGGCTATTCTTTGAGCGTATCAAGTGTGAGTGAGATAGCAGGCCTTTTTAGCAGTCATAAATGATGACGATCGTTTCTTCATCTGTAACACAGCAAAACAACTAGCTACCAGCTTATAACTTAAAAGTAAAGAAAGAGAAGGTTTGCTATAGCCTACAATACTATTACTTTCGGCAGCAGACTATTTCATAAATAGTTTTAAGCAGCAGTATGCATCTCAATGCATTAATGCATTACTGTCACTTTCAAAGACCCACCCCAGACGCATTAATGCAGTATTGACCGTGAAAGGGTTAAAGGGGCTGCATACTGAGGCCTTAGACAATTACAATCCTCCACTGACAAGGTCACATGCTATGCCAAATATTGTAGCACATAATAGCTTGGATTATACTCTACAGGTAACATTTTATGATGTTAATGTGTTTCTATCTAGCTTACTCACTTTTCTAAGGTTCGCTATCCTTCAAGTCCACTGCAAGCAGGTCCAATTTACTTTCTTACTCTCAGGAATTGTGGTATCTTTGTACTGTGCTGTAAAGCTATCCCTCAGCAGGTTAGATTGACAAATGATTTGACACTGGTAAAGGGGCCAATCCTGTCATAAGCATGGTACATTTTTGTTTGAAGAACCATGGCCTTGATTCAGTGAATATCCATTTCAATGCTGACAATTGCAGAGGACAAATAAAAAAATTAATAAGTTATTTAAGTGAGTATAACGCATGCACAATAATGTACTACTTTAAATATAATTCTTTTTACGTTTACCTTTAGTACCTGTTATGGAGAGTCATGACAAGACTTGATGTGTCCATTTTGATTTCCTTTCTGCCTGTTAGACACAAAATTTTCTCCAGACTGGTGCTTTTGACTTATAAAGCAAAAGTCCGGTAAAGCAGAGGTGAATGACTTCGTCAAAGTTGTAGAACAATCATTTTCTGTAAACAAAGCCCAACCTGTAGGAAGTAGCAATGGTGAACTCATTGTAGAAACATTTGACTTGTTAAGTTTCTTTGCTATATTATTTAAGAAAATAAAAGGCATCAAAAGCAATCAACACTTTGCTGTAAATGCAACTTCACCTGGTTTAGTTGCAGCCAGACATGTTGTGGATGGCCCTGTCACACAATTTGTGACCATAATTGACAAAAGGGCCCTTATGGCGGATTTTAAAATTGATAGTTATAATGGAAAATATCAACCTGTGAGTGCTTTGTTAGACAATAATTGTTTCTAAAAGTTTCATGGTAACTTTTTGCATCCTGTGGAGTAATTTTATGATAACTGGGGCTCAGGAAGTTGGATTTCTTAGGCTAGAAAGACAAATTTCACTACCCGCCATAAGGTACCTTTTGTCAATTATGGTCACATTTAATATTCTGAAAGAGGATGCTCAAATAATACAAGATGAACTACCTAATGTACTACCACCAAAGGGTATGTCAAGTGAACAAAAATGGTACCTTTACAAAAAGATATGATCGCTTTGCAGATACAAATGTAAAGATATAACTTACCCACTTCCTGATGCACCTCGACCAACAGGATCAACTCGACAATCAACTCCAGGTGTAGATAATCCACCAATGGAGATCAAAGTACCACATTCTCCTAGGCAATCTCTAGAACCACCAGCAACAGAAAAAAAATGTAGTAATTGTGGTCAATTTGGTCATAGTAGAAGAACTTGTCGATGCGATCAGTAAGTGAATAACAGAAATAAGTTTGTGTAATGCAAATACTATTGATCCCCTTTCAACAAGAGAGGAACTAGTTTGTTTACAACAAACAGATTATTGATGCTCTCAAACAGAATTGGAACTAGTTTGAATTCCAAACATTCAAACTATTGATCCCCTGAAACAGAAGTGAAACTAGTTTGAATGCCATAATATTCAAACTATTGATCCCCTAAAGGAGACGAACTTGTTTTGTAATGCTATGACATACAAACTATGGATCCCCTTTTTGAAAACAAAGATGTGGAACTAGTATGTGCATTGGACGTCAACATAAACACAAACACTCAATTTTGTTTAAATTTTACTAACTCAAAAGAGAAGGCCGAGAGAAAGTTAGTCACAAAGTTATCATGCAGGTGATTCGTTTACTTTTACAGGTGAGAGGACTAATAAAAATGTGTGGGAGAAGAATGCCGAAATAGAAGTCATTGCGTCAGTGAAAGCCAATCAAAGAACACCAAGTGTCGACATGACCTTTAGGATATAAAACAAGACACCTGAAACTGTAAGTTAAAAATCAAAAAGTAATGGCTGCCCCAATAGAGGATGTCCTCTTGAGTTCCATCTATCTGATGGTAAGTTAGGAATGTGTAACCGTATCAGTAATGCAGTAGCGTTACTGAGTAGGATTCACCCCCAAAAAAATGGCTCCCATGACTTCTGCATACTTGCTATACTGGAAAACGAGCTCCTATGCTGACCAGACTTTATAGAGGACCTTATCTTGACCAGAGGACTCCATTGGTACCCATAGCATGGCTCTAGACCTTGTCTAGGAGAAAAGCCAAAATTCGGAGAACCTGCCGTTTTGTTCAGCCACCTTTTTTCATCTTCATCATCATCAAGTCATTTGTCCTGTCAATCCAGTTGTCGGTGTGTATCTCAGTATCAGTTGGTGCTACAAGGATAATTCTTGCACAAATCTACTTCAACAGTCAATGTGCAGGTCCTGTCCCATTAGATCATAAAGAAAAAGTGATACTGTGACTGCTAGATAGAGCCATCTTAGCTGCATGCCACCATTTTGTTAATAAAAGAAGCATGTGTTTATTAATGTATGATATGCAATGATAATTTAAATGACAACAGCTTGGAAGAACAGGAATAGCTGCATTCTGCTGCAACATTGCAGGGAAGATGAACACTTTCAGCTGACAGCTTATTGAACAAGGACTTGTGTCGAGACTAGTATTAATATCACTTGTCATCAGGATACTGATACTTCAGCATGTCTATTCAATGCTGTCTCTCATAAATGATGTAAAGTCATGACAATGATAATAATAATAAAGAAAATTATTGTTTGTGTAAAATTAACAAGCACTACAATGGCAACTAAAGAAATATTATAAATATAATAAAAAAATTAACACAAAGAAGAGCATAAAAAATTTTTTTTAATTAAGTAGGATTCCGAACAGCCAAGGAAGAATCCTACTTGTGACGCAAATTTTACTCTACAATGCAAGGTGATCCATAATTTTTACATAATAACATTGAAAGTACAATGTAGAGTAGAAGTTGTGTCACGAGTTGGATTTTCAATTCTTATTTTTGTTAGCCGTTTGGAATCCTAATTAATCTTTTTTTAAAATATTTTATGCTCTTATTGTGATAACTATAATGCCTTTTATTTTTGTAAATGAACTTATTAAATGGTTTGTATGCTTGTGTTGTACATTAAGAAGCAAAAAATAACTTTAGTTATAGCAGAAAAAGTCTGGGACAAAGACAAGAAAGGAGGCACAGGAAAGGACAGAGGAGAAAGGGGATACAGACAAAGTGGAGAGAGGAGACAGTACTAAGGAGAATTGTAAGATTGAAAGGTGAAGCGTACAACTATACATGACACTGTTCTTAAATCAATGAAACGGCTTAAGTAAGCTTACTTTTATCATTGCAATCTAATACTTTTTGCTGTCAAGCAGATGTAAGAAGGACCATTGTACTAAAAGGTAACTTTGCATTGTATTTCGGTTAGTTTTAATTACAAACATTAGTCAAAAAGAAAGAAGGCCCTTAGGTAATCAAATAATAGTGGAATTACTTGTGGTTTCATTTCACACTTATTAACTGAAAGACTTGGAACAGTTTTGGCCAGCTCTTAAAGTAAACAAAATTTAAGTGTAAATTAAAGACTTAATGCCATTGTAAATAAGGACAGATAGAACTAATAGAAGAAGGAAGGAGGAATAGAGGAGAAATAAAGGACAGTGATGGTGGGGAAGAAACGGGCAGGAAGCGAAACATGGGGGACAGAAGAAACAGAGACGGGAGAAGACACAGGCATGGGAGGGGAGACAGGTTAGAGAAGGGAAAGAAATTCAAAGTAACAATAGGGCATTAGTGTAAATAATAATAACTTTTTCTTTTTCTTTTGTTAGAAGAGGAGGCAACATAGGGGTAAAGGGAAAGAGGTACGAGGTGGTGGGAGAGAAGAAGGAAAAGGTGGCCAAAAAAGTGGAGGTGGCCAAGGAAGACGCCAGTAAGGAAAAAGGGGCCAAAGAGGAGGAGGCCCTGCTACAACAGTAAGTGAAAGAAACACAGTTAAGCATAACAATAACAACATATCTTTCATAGGATACTGCAACTATTTGTATAGAACAGAATTATTCTTCTAAAAAAATTAATATACATTTATTACCTATAAACTCAAAGAGAAGTGATGGCTGGATTTGAAAAATGTGTATGATTCGTGTTTAAATAGTCCATAAAAATGACTTTCAACACTAGAAGACGTAATATTAACACTATAAATTGCTAATAAAAACTTACTAGTATTTGAAAGTCACCATGAATGGCAGGGCTTTACACAACTCTTGAGATGTCCATTATACTAGAAAAGATAGTTGCAATGCTGTCAAAAGCAAGATAAAGTGCATCTTTTTTCATTCTTCCTTTATTACTTGATTTGGGTGTGGTTTTACATGGTGGGCATGGTTTCATTTACTACGTAAAAGGGCATGACACGGAAACGTTGAAAATAACTTAAAATACTCTGTATTTGTATTCCAGAGCAATCTTCTAAGCAGCGTCTCTAACTTTCAAATTTTATTGCACACTGTCATAAACGGGATACTGGTGGAAAGGATTTTTTTTCTCTATCTGTGAGTACCAAAAACTGATTTTGCCAAAATCTCGCAGATAGCCTCGTTTTCTCATAGTGTGTCTCAAATGCTAGTAAAGCTTATTGCAGCTTGCGCTTCACTTATGTCACATTCAATTCCTTCTCCAGAATCAAAGGTGAAAAGCATGTTGTATACAGCAGACACGTAATATATGACCCTTTTGCTTCCTTAACAGGCCTATCAAAAAATCATAATGGCCTCACATACTTTTTTACTGGCCTTGGATGCAATTGACCTTTTTAACAAATAATAGGCACTTTTTCTGTAGATTCCAACCTTTTCTGTAGATTTCAACATGTATTACTCTAGTTCTTCAATAACTGAGCGAATAAATTTACTAAAACAAATAAAATGTTAAATGACTCATGTTGTACAGGCTATGTCTTTGTTGTTATCTCAACACACATAAGTAATATAGGTTAACCAATAGCAGAAAGATTAATTGACCAAAAATAAGGAGCCAGTTGCAGTCAGAGGACAACCATACAAAAAATGAGAATATTTTTCAGATAAGTTGGCTTTTGCATAATTGTTGGGAGATTGGTTGTTTTTAGCTCTCCTATTTTAAAACACCAAAACTTACCAGTGTCATTTTAAAATTCCTGTCAACAGGTTCAAGAGTTGTCTCATCACTAAATGAAGGTTCAGAAATAATCGATAGGCAGTGTTGAGTGAGCCCTTAGTCAGTACTTGCTTGTTCAAAAAGTGGCATTGCAACACATTGCTGTGCGATTGCACCTACTGTAGGTGAAGTACATTCCATAAAAAAATTAGCATTACAAAGAAAAGTTAATACAGAATCAAATTAGTTCATGTATGTTGACAGATGGTTGCATTAAGAAGTACAAGCAAAGTAACCACTATTTTAAATCATTACGCTGTTGTTTGTTGGACTAATGACAATACCGAGAAAGTTTTCCAGCGCAACAGTTTCACTTTTTAACATTTACAGCAGCGAACGAAGCACTCACCTTGCACTTCCATAGCATTATTGATTATAATTAGATATGAAGTAGTCTTTGTGTACTAATAATGAACATGTTACTAGCAAGGAGTGTGACAAGTTGGGTGTTGAGGTAGTGTTGTTACATAAGGTGCAACTGACACTTATAATTGTGACAAATTATGACATTACCTGTTTTCCTTGACTATCCAAATCCATTTTATAATTGCAAAAACAAGGCAAAATTATGAGATTCAGATATGCCTTTTCCTTTGAAAAGATTGATTTGCTTGGGGAATGTAGTGAGCTTGTCATAGACTCGTGATAGCCTGCCATCAGTTTCTGCCATCATAGCACTCATTTTTTGAACAAAGCTTCATCCATTGTCGAAGATTCATTGCTTATTTCTATCAATTTTAATTTATGACAGGTGTCAGCCACAATACAAGTCAACAGTTTAATCAAGGCTGACATCCCACTACCGGTAGGCATACCAACAGATACCCAAAAAATCACTGGTGCAGTCTTATCATTTTTTCCGTTGAAACTGTAGAATGACTCAGAAAAAGAGTGAGTCCTCCCAAAACAGCAGTTGTTGAAGTACTCATGGCTTTCCCAATTTGCTTGCAACCCTATGTAGTGCACAAACTAAATGTCACTACATATTGCACTAAGTTAGCAAGATCATCTATATCAATCTTCAAATATGCTTTCAAACTACTTCTTATTGGTGCTACTTTCAACATTGAATCTGCCAAACTGGGGGTATCTGTCTGTCTATGATCCTGGCTGCTGGATTTTTTAATTCTTAACCTATTACCTGTATAGCATTTTAAGTAGATTATACATAGATAGTTTACACTATAGTTACTTTGAATAATCTAGTTTTGTGTGGTAACTTTCAAAGCACTCTACTACATGAAGTGCTACTAGGCAATATTTGCATCAATATCTTGTTTGGCTTCTTTTGCCTTTAGAGCTACATACAACACATTGATGAAGACCAGCATATTGTGTCTTCTTTGGAATCAGTTCTAAGAAGCACATTCCGGTAAGCCGTGTTGGTAAGTGACTAAGTGTGACTCTTTGCTGGGATATAGATATGTGCCCCTGTAATAATCCTTTTGCTACAGCTATCCTGAAATCCTTGTGATTCATTGGTTTCACTGAATCCCCATTGTACAGGATATTAGCATTTACCAAAGAGAGATTTAGTCAGTGGTAGAAAATTTTTTTCCACCATTTTATCGCTCTAATAATAAATAAATGTTACTGTAATAATTTCTTGTTGATTTACCTATTCCCATATCCATAATATAGTACCATTTGGTCAGATCGATCAACACCATTCATCCATTGGTTGTATTCTTCCACTACTCTTGCCTTAATGATTTCAGTACCTGCTACGTCCTTTCTCCTTTTCTTGTCTATCATTTCTGTGCCATGGAAAGTAGATATCAGATTGACTTCCCTTTTATCTTTCCATTTTAGGCAAAGTAGATGGCCATCAATTGTTTCACTTTATACTTCTGTTCTAAAGGTGGTTATGTGATATGTTAATGTACAAGTTAATTAAAAAAATTTCTATTAATAAAATGTAGGGTTGTCAAAAAATAAAAGAAACAAGGGGGTTGAGTTCAACCACAATAATAATAATAGTTCAATTAATAATAATAAACGTTAATTAATAAAAATAATAATTCATAAAAATAGTACAAAGATTTCAAACCTTACTTTGCAGAAAATGATAATAGGAAGAAATAATTTCAATAATAATTATGCCTTTGTACCTATTGATTGCTCTACTACATTTCTATGATGTAAGTTAAGTATAAATTAAACTTTTCAGCTAGTATTGATTGAATAAATTACTGTCATTACAATTAAAACATCTAAATTATAGATAATTATTTGGCTTTTGCATTTTTTAATGTTTGTGATTCAGTACAATATCTAAAAATTAAAAGATTAATGTATAAGAATTGTAATTGGACTCGCCACAGTTGTGTAGGCAGAACTAAGCAGTTTGGTTATCATTCTTTCATTAAATTTATTCATTTTAAAGGAAACAATACTCATTCATAAAATTCTGCAAAGTAGGGTTTTGAAATCTTTGTACTATTTTTATGAATTATTATTTTTTATTAATTAACGTTTATTATTATTAATTGAACTATTATTATTATTATGGTTGAACTCAACCCCTTGTTTCTTTCATTTTTTTGACAACCCTACTTTGTCTTATTTAATAGAATTTTTTTTTATTTACTTGTTTCCATCCTTTTCATAAAATTGTATTTATTAATTATTAATAATTCATTTTATTGATAATAATAAATTTGACATTCATTTATAGGTTTAAATGTTCATTAGTTCATTATTGGAAGAAAAGAATTTTTGAAATAAAAGCCATAAGAACCATAAAAACAATTTTATAATTACAATTTTAAAAATTTGAATCATTAATTATTAGTTATAACTACACTAATTATTATTCATTACTGAGACATCAAAACCTATTTAAGTTCCTTAATTTTTTTCTCATTACAAATTTAAATCCGCTCTCTCTAATATCTTCCCTCTCAGCCTCTCACTCTCTCATTCTCTCTCTCTTTCAGGAAAGTTTATTTTTGTATAAAGTTAGTTTGAAAACTTGTAGCTATAGCTACCTCATTTCTCTTTTTGTAGGAATATGGATGTTACTGCACCAGTAATTGATGGTCATGGAGGTCCTCCTCCACTACTACCACCAGTTGCAGCCGGTGGAGGTCATGGAGGTCCTCCACCACCACCACCAGGACATGTTGCTGGTGGTCATGATCCTCCTCCACCACCACCACCACCAGTCACACCGGTTGTAGCCGGCGGGCATGGAGGTCCTCCACCACCACCACCGCCAGTTGCAGGTGGTCTTGGAGGTCCTCAATCACCACCAGTTGCTGGTGGTGGTGGAGGTCCACCACCACAACCATTGGCTGGTGGTTTTGGAGGTGCTCCACCACCTCATGCACCTGTAGCCATAGGTGCTCTACAGCAGCAGAGGCTGCTTGTTCTGAGGCAACTCAGGAGCTTCAATAGGCAAATCGTAAGGTTTGACAATACTTTATTATATATATAATCTCTTTCCATTTTAGTACATGAACTTACCCAGAGGACCAAGAGGCCGTGGCGCTGGCAGTGGCAGAAGGGGTGGAGGAAACATTACCAAAAACAATAACTTTTATTAACTTAAACTTTTCTATTATAAATAGTATTTTAATAACAAAAAAGTCAATTATTTTACAGCGCAAAAAGCAAAATCAAAAATACAATAGTAAAATATTCAAAATGATGAATTGCTCAGCAAGGCAAACTGCTTTAATACCTTTAGATTCCACCTTCCTACAATAATAGATACATACATATTAATAATACATCATTTACACTACTTACGGTGGCCACAGTTCATGACATAACCATTAAAAGAATATAGATGTAACATTGAACCATTACCTATTACAAAATACATAAGACACTTTGTAATCACACAATATACAATCTTGCTACATAATCCATTGCTGAGACTACAATGATGTGAAACCAATAAGGCTAAAAACTGTTGCCTCCTGCAATGTGATAAACTAATGATCAAGGACCTACAACAAAAAATTTAGCTACATGTAAAAAGAAATTAATTTAGTTACATGAATCTAAAACCAGAATAGCCTTTAATTATATTGCAGTAATTGCACATTCCAATATCAAGTAAAAGTATTGCTGACTCATCAAATCCTTTCCAGCTGTCAATACCTGTAAAGCTGTAAAGCATAGTAACAGAAACACATCAAACACAAGCAATGTAAACACACAGGCTAATAATAACAATAGTACAAACAGAAATGGTAAACAAACTTTATGTTAGCAAACAGCTAAAGAATCTTTTTGCCGTCATCTCACAAAAAGACAATCTAAAAGAACTTCAATTACAGTTCAAATTAAGTATGTCAAGCAATCGATGGAGTCAAGCTGCTCAAGAAGAAAAGAAAACAAAAATGACAGCACTATTTTTTGAACACCTACTTCCTGATGTTACAAACATGCTTCAGGTACATAAAACAATCAAGCTATTGGATATAAATTGTTTGTCTCTTAATAATTCATTCCAGCCTTCATGGAGTCAAGCAGCACACTGTTTCTATAATTCAATATTTATTCATCCATTACTTCAATACATTAAAGTGGGATTCCCTGCTCCTTGTTATCTTAAAGAAATTCTTGAAGATCAGTTGATTACACTGAATGAAAGACACAAGAAGGATACCTGTAAAGCATAGTAACAGAAACACATCAAATGCAAGCAATGTAAACACACGGGCTAATCATAACAATAGTACAAACAATAATGGTGAACAAACTTTATTACCAATCACATGGAACTTTTGTATTCCCCGTTAGCAAACAGCTAAAGAATCTTTTGGCCGTCATCTCACAACAAGACAATCTAAAATAACTTCAATTACAGTTCAAATTAAGTATGTCAAGCAATCTTTTTAAATCAAATCCTTTCCAGCTGTCAATACCTGTAAAGCATAGTAACAGAAACACATCAAACGCAAGCAATATAAACACACGGGCTAATAATAACAATAGTACAAACAGTAATGGTGAACAAACTTTATTACCAATCACATAAAACTTTTGTATTCCTTGTAACTCGATTATACAACAAACTATAAAAGGATGCAATTCATGCATGATAATCATCAAACACTACAAGCACAATAAATGCATCAATAATCCACTACATGTACACTATTCTAAACATATACATGTATATATGCGTGATATACCTTATTTTTGTCACAATCATACATAACAAACTACCAACAAGATACAGGTGCTCACATAGAGGAACATCTGCTTCACTTTTCAGTCTCATTCTAAGTCTGATCTCACTCTTTAGCACCACATTGTAGTCCTTGTGCCAAGTAAGTACATGTACCTGTATAAATTGTGAATGTGACATACATGTACTAACTAATAATGATAATGGTAGCATCTACAATGTTCCTGATTGGATGATACATATATGTGCATGCATGTATTTTAGACATACATGTAATATTGCTTACTAATGCTATCCTCAGTTAAGATACTTTCTTGACCTGCTTAATAAATAATAACATTGTGTACATGAAGAATTTCCAATGTGTAAACAATATGTTTTTGTTAATGAGAACATGCACATGTTACAACAATCATCAATAAAATATGCGCAACATCAGCTGGCAAGCATTTATTATGCGCACAGCATTGATGGCAGCATCATTCCAATGTGCTACATCAGCCGGCAAGCATTAACTTAAAGGGTAACTGAAATGATTTTTGACCCCCCCCTTTTTTATTGCCTCAATACAAAGTATTGCATTTTTTACTGCTTATTCTCAAGTTTCATTTGCAAAATTCGAATCAGTGCTGAGATATAATGCTTCAAAGTCAAGTTTTTTACTTCCTGCCATTTTACTTCCTGTTTGTGGGCGCGGTCACGTGTGACATCATTTGGGGCAAAGCATGGCAAGTCTACAAGCAGCATCTCATGAGGATGAATCATTGTCAGATGAACAAGATGATTATGGAATACAGCCATACCAGTTTCAGCCATCCACAAGTGAGTCTTCTGACTCTAGTGAAGATGATGATGAAACAAGGCTGCAAGATACTGCTTGGTACATCAGGCATGCATACCATATATGACACCTTTCAGGTTTTATAATTCTTAGGTGCCAATGTTCTTGTTGTATTATCATGCCAACATCTCAGGAGTGCCTTTGCTGCCAAGAAGTAGCTCAAGTTGTAAATAAAATTAGGATGACCACAGTAGCAATGCAATGCATCACAGAGCATCCTGGATTTAATACAGTTTGTTTAGATGTTTGGGTTTTACAAACAGCATATTTTCAGTATCGCCAACAGTATGGACTACAACATGGGCAAAATCAGTAAGTAGTGTATAAATTAAATCTGTCAAAATTATCGTTATATTAGAAAACTAAGGTACATAGCCTATCGACAATTCACACGTTGGTGTTGTAACTGCAATACGCAAAGCATTTCCTAATGATACAAATGTACCATATACTGGATTTCTTGAACCCCCTTAATGAATTAATACTATTTATTTCCTTTTTTTAAGTGACATTAAAGAAAATCTACTCTTATGATCAGTAATAGCCTTTGATTTCAGAGGGCGCTCATATGAATGACATAGAGGTGGAGGTACATGTACTTTCTTTGACTGATTCTGGTTTCCTTCAATAGCTTCTTTTATTATACTATCAATCAATTCACTAACGTAATCTGTAGGAATAAATATTTCAAGTCAACATTGTACTTTTTAAATTATATAATATTATTACCATATGCAGAAGATGCTTTAATCTGCCTGATAAAGTGCCCGCCTTTCTTGTACTTGGGATAAGACAATGAGTACCTAAGAGTTCCTTGTTTGTCTCTTGCTTGTTTCTTATTGCAATTCTCATTGAAGTGAAGTGCAGCCAACTGCAATCTTAATATTAAGTCGATAAAAAATAGTTGGTGTAATTCTAAATTTTTACCAACCTTGCAAGCATTCCTTCATATGAAAAGGCAACTGATTTGGGTGCAAATTGATTGACAACACTGTGGAAAGCCTCCAGACATGAAGTTTGATATGAAGGAGACATTTTACAGACAGCATTGCAAAATCTGGCATTAGTGATAAGATCAGTTACTTTCTCACTGCTTTTAGTGCCTACAAAGATGTATCAATATTTTAACACATTATATTCATTTGTAGAAAACATAATATATACCTAGTTTGAACCACTTCTTCTTTCTCCTGTTTTGATTTAAAGATTTATGAGCACACTTTTTAAAAATGCCTTTATGTGTGTGTTTGTTATGAATATGGTTAGATAGTGATAACCATTTTGACCGAATCATTTCTTCATTTGAGCTAGAACCACTGCTTGACATAGCACACCAGTAAAAATGATTCACTATGCTCTGTGTCCATTCTCCTACTATTTCACAATCTTTTAACTTAGCAATTGCATTTAATTTTTTACGTAACCCTTTAAAAAGTAATGAATCTCTATAATTGGTTGTGTACATGTGTATATATATAACTAACCTTTTGCCAAATGCCACACGTCAAAATGATGCATTGTTGATGGTAACTCATCCCTAACCCATTTAGCAATTTGTACATGCCGATCAGTTACTAATGTTCCTATTGTCAATCCATATTGTTCTAATTCCCTAATTCCTCGCTTCAGCCCTTCCAGTTCCATATAGTAACTCCCACCTACTTCATTACTCTGTATGAATAGAAAATTGGAAATATATTAAAATTTTCAGAGTTACTACTACCTGTACAAGTTGTAAGTCAAGAATAATGTTATGGGATAGCTCCATCAGTGTATATGTCCCATACTTGGCTGAATGACCGGGACTGTCAGCTCTCCCATCACCTCCAAGTACAAGTGTAGCGTTGTCTGACTGCAGCATTGCCACAAGAGCTTCATGATACATGTTCCATGTCTTGGAAATTGCTGGGAATAAAAACCAGCGTTGATGATTAAAGTAAGTTCTAGAAGTAATGGATGCACACCCAACTGTTTGCAATACACGAAGTGACTGTTCAGGAAGAGAACCAGTTAGCAGAATGGCTGAAGACAACAGCAAATTACCAGCAGGAATATTATTAATAAAAGGCTGACTGTCCCAAATCCTTTCAGCCTCACAGTTCTGACACCACTGCTTTATTCTTATGAACGTCCCATTGACCAGTTTAGTAATTGATGGAGTGGGCAGTTGGCATTTGATACAAAACTGGAAAAGAGTGAGCAGAGCACATTCGAAAACTATGTACTTTATCTGGTTCTTAAAGCTGAAAGATAATTATAACGATAAAGTGTTAACTGTTTAGTCTTTTACATGCCTTTTATCATTGGCATCCATTTCTTTTACATGATTTATGCCTTCATAATTAATACTTTTATCTTGAACATCATCATCATCATCAAGGGATTCATATACATCACTGTCAAAGCTCTCACAAGGCTCTGGCATTAACAAACTACACTGTATACCAACATCTTTGTAGAAAGTAGTTGTTGTTTGACAGCCTAGATGCAATGATAATACAGTAATTTGTATATTGAAATGCTGCAATACCTTTCGATTTTGTTAACTTAGGAGTAGTCTGAGTTTTTGCATTTCTATGCAAAATTTCTATTTGAGTGCTGGCACATCTACAATTTCAGGTATTTATAACTTATATTTACTATGCAGTTGTATTTTACTGTGTTAAAATCGGCTCCGGTTCAGTTCCTACATCACAAGTATCTGAAGAAACAGTGATTGTGTCCATGAGGGCTTCTGGCTCTGTATTGTCTTTTGTCATCAAGTTCGCTATAATCTAATGAAATTTGAATCATTTCTAAACTTAAATTCTTTTGACTTACTCTCTTTTGTTCCCTTTTCTTATAAGCTGATCTTGGTCTCTTGGACACTGGCACACTTCCAACATTTTCTTCTGCCTTTCTTTTAAAAATAGTTGGTACTGCGCCCTTTTTAAGCATTTTGTACTTTTTCAGACCAAAAGACTTATGTAAATTATAGCTCTCCTCGAAAGAATCTTCAGTAAAATGCTCACTGCAGAGAACTGAGTTTACTGTAGCAGACTGTCCAGCAATCCCTTGTTCTTTTGACCTGGTCTATCCACTTCTTCTTCAATGCCTCATCTTTAGGAAAAGTATAAACACTAACACCATTTTCCACAGTGTTGTTGCATCCAGCTGCTACACATCTCTTAGGCATGTTCAAGAAAGTAAAAGACTAAAAGTTGCTGTACACTGCATGCACTGCTGCAATTGCATATGCCCCAAATGATGTCACACGTGACCACGCCCACAAACAGGAAGTAAAATGGCAGGAAGTAAAAAGCTTGACTTTGAAGCATTATATCTCAGCACTGATTCGAATTTTGCAAATGAAACTCAAGAATAAGGAGTAAAAAATACAATACTTTGTATTGGGGCAATAAAAAGAGGGGGTCAAAAAATCATTTCAGTTACCCTTTAATAATGCACACAGCATTGATGGCAGCATTATGCGCAACATCAGCTGGCAAGCATTTACATATATGTAATGGGCACAGCATTGATGGCAGCATTAACATGCATGATGATCATTATTATATGTACAGAATGACTGCTTGAATAATACTACATGTATAATAACAAATTTTAATGTTAGTCAAAAATTTTTCTTGTCAGGACTTCAAAATTTTTTAGCAGAGCCCAGATCCATAAGCACCTGTTATTTGTAATAAACATGTAGTACAAGCCACAAACAAGATCCAGATTTGATAATGACATCTTCCTCCCTTTCTAACCCTGTCCTACATAAATGATAGTCACACAAATTTGAGTCAACGCAAAACTCTAATGAACACCAAACCTCTTTCACACCCTCTCCCTGTCCATTATAGCAACAAGTAATCAATATTCACTGTTATACATTGATTTATCCCACATCCTTAATGCAGTTTGATCCCTTCATACTGAGCAATACTAGGTGGATATGCACCAATGGTTTTCACACTCACACATCATTCACATTGCACATGCAGTGAAATATAAGTCACATTAAACAACCTATGTGTTAAGATGATGGACCTCCTATACACCATACTCACTTTCCATCAACAATCAATGCTTAAGAAATATTACTAGACTTAACTGCTTGGAAATGATTAGTAACAACATGCTTCAAATACAAAGCAGGTGTATTAGTATCACAAGAAATGCCATATAAAGTTTGGGTTCCATATCTAGCCCAGCCAACAAAAGTAGGAGTTAGTGAATATGAATATATGGTTGTACTTAATATTGCAGATAATGTAATAATCTCTGTGTCAGTGGCCCACACACAATTTCTATACATTTTGGACTTATTTATGTAATCATATATGCTTGAATATCTTGTTGCACTTAATGTACTATTAAACAATTCTTCTTCAAAGTTTGGCATATTACTAACAATTGCTTTATGTAATTTGTAATACTGAGAAATTGACCCAGTAATGAGATATGAAAGGGCATAAAATAAACAGTTCCCATCACCAGGGACATCAAGAGTACTATTACGAACTCTTACATCTGACAATGGTGTTGTTGGACTACCAGGTAGGATTCTAGCAGCTGTGACAAATTTGAGATTCAAAATCTCAATCCACCTTCTTTGAAATTCTTCATTACCAGGGTAATAAACATAATCCCATTGTCTCCTCACAATATCTGGGTTGGGAGGCTCTTCATAAGTAAAGATGACATCATCATCTTTTTAATGCTTGAGAGTTTTATAGATACAATCAGACTACTACTACAATGGTCATTTTTTTACAACACACTTGGTTTTATCATCTTTTGGTTTACATTTAATGTTTGAGAGTTTTATAGATACAATGAGACTACTACATTTATCATCATCTTGGACACTAAATTTGGTTTTTAGGCCTTTCAAATTAATTGAAACAATTAATTTATCATTTTAAAGCATTATCGTCACAAATTTTACTCTTTTTGGGGCGATTAGACTTTTGTAAATCAGTACTCTTACATTTATTGCTACTGACAGTACTGTTACTAGTACTTTGTACATGACTTACAGACACTTTGGAATTCTTACTACAAGGTTCACTATCATCAATTATACCAGTCACTTGAATCTTTCTCTTCTTTCCTTTACTTTTCTTGATTTGAGTTAAGTCATTTCGAAATTTACTTCTCAGCCTGTTAATTTCATTAATGCACGGACTACTAACTTTAACAGAGAGAAGATCAAATGATAATAAATGTAATCCATTTAATGTATGTACACGAGACAATGCACCATATGCCATACCATCCCCAAAAACAACAGTCGATAAATCAATGATGGCTGTATCTAGTGAGAGGCCCAGACATTTATGTATAGTAATAGCATATGAAAGTATAAAGGGAAACTGTTTTCTATGTATATACAAATTCTTAGATAGCATAAATCTAGATGTAACCCTTTCTATGTCACACGGTACATCAATATGATCAAATTTGATTGATATACGTGTATCATAAATACACATTACTGTACCAATGGCACCATTAACTAATCCTACTGTCACATCAATATTATGTCTTAGCATTACTCTACAGCCTAATGCTAAAGACAATACAGTTTCTAAACCAGCTGTTTTGCTTGGTTGATCTTTTAGTTTCTCTAATTTTTTTTCTTGTTTTTGTCAAATTTTGCTGTGCTGCCACTTTCATCAACGTCAACACATGGTATTTCTATTTTCTCAGTTTCTAGACTTCCTAACATTAGTTCATTGATTTTTTGGCTGGCATCTACCTTAGAAAATAGGCAAATTGGAGGATTTGTTCCTTCACTTTCCAATTCTTAATATTTTTCTTGTATTGAAACCTTAAATCCGCGACTCTTAAGCATATCAATAGTTTCATCAGTCAGACAGCCATGCCTAACAGAATCAAGCATTTTAAAGAAAGTTTCATCTCCTTTTTGTCGCTCATTGATTGTTAGTTCATCATATTCTACTGTTTCTTTTTATATTTTAACTGCATTTGCTGCTCCAAGTCTAGTTTTTACTAATTTGTTGCTATTTTTTTTTAATACTGGTCTACCATTAATTGGTGGCAATTGTAAGAGGTCACCTACAAATAAAACATTCTTTGATCCAAACCATTCATCAGTTCCAAATATATCTTCTAAGCGCATGTGTAAGTATGCTAGATTTAGATTGAAAACCATAGATACCTCATCTACTATTATAATTTTTAAATTTTTAAATGTCTTTTCTGAGCTTCTTTATTCAAAGCCCAATATCCAGCTGTCTTTCCCTCATGCTCTATTGGTAGCTGAAATAATCTATGTCCACCTACATTAAATGCGGCTATACCTGTAGGTGCTACTATAGCACACATAATTTTACCACTTTTTGGATGCCATGTGTCATCCACTAGCCATTTTATTACCTCTATTAAAAATGATTTACCAGTTCCACCTTCACCACTAATAAACATTCTTAGAGGTTTCATATTATCTAATCTAAGTAGTCTTGAAGACTCATTCTCTAATAGGTCTTCATGTTCTTTTTGACTTATAAAATGACTCTTAATTTTATCAAAAATTCTTTTTTGATCTACATTAAGCATTGTCTCTCTTTGCTCTAATGTTAGATTAGGTACATTTATATGCATGTCAGCAATATCAGCTACTGCTTCCATTATTTTACCCAGTAATTCAGGCTCATCATCTTCCTTGTTATCAGGAAGTTCTTAAGTAAAACTGGCTTTATTTCTTGCATCGACTATTTTCTTTCAATTACGTTCAGCTTGTAATAATTTCTGTAGTTTGTTAAAATGATTTTTAATGCCACGTATAGATGCTTCTCTGAGATGCATAAAAGCTTCATCCATTGTTTCTCTTTCCATTACAAGTGTGCTCTCATCTCTATAAGGCACAAATTAAAAAATTAGCATGTAATAAAAATCGTCTCATTCCGCTTCTTGCATGGAATTAAATTTCCTATGGTTTGGAAGGACTGGCTTTGATCGAAGTTTGTATTCTCTTTCTCCATTTTCTCCTATTTTATCAAATTTGTAATTAGCAACAAATTCATAAAGAGATACATCTTCCATGTTATTTGGTCTTGTTGGATAAAAGTCTTTAATTATGCTAGGATTAAAAATGTATTTAGAAGATCGATCCATTTCAGTTAAATATGAATACGTTTTGATTTTTCTGCTCCTCTTATGAGGCAAGTACACATTAATGTACTGTATGGTTACTGATTTCATGTATAAACTTTCACCGAGAAGAACATCGCTAGCTTCATATAGTCCTACTTCTTTAGCTCGAAGTAATGTTTGTCCAATTTTCCAAAGCCTACTATATATGATGTCACAGCTGCTGACTTCATCCCATACGTCCTGTGCATGACTCTTTTCTGCTTTAGTGACATATCCAGTTACATACTCTGTTAAGGAACGACACCTCTCTGCTATGTATTGCAAGTCCATATTTGCACACCACAATTTCACAGTAAAGGTTTGTAGTCATTGACTCAAACTTCTTTTTTCATTTCATTTGAGATAATATATTTTATTGCATGATTTCAAGCTATTTCCAACATCATTGATGCAAATACTATCTCGTACTTGTCTAGGAAAATCAAATCGGCATCTAGATACATAGGTCTTGCCGACTTTAATATTTCGCTTGCAGTATTTGCTGCACTTGTGCATTTGGTATTTTGTTACCAAGAAATTTAAATCAGGCGACATATTACTATCTGGTATATGACACGTTATCCTATCTTGTATGAAAGAACAGACTTCTTCTGGACGATCAATACCAACAACAGGAGCATTTTCAATCCATAGGATTATGTGATAATGAGGCACTCCACGCATTTGGTATTCTTTTTTAACATAATATTGCTCTACTTTACCTAAAACACCTCTCTGGAGA